AGGAGCTGTCACTGTATTCAAATGAGAATGAGAAAATTCATGTCACAAGATCGAACCCAGAGAGGACGGGGTGACAAGTGACACATTCTTCTCTAAGTTCAACGCAAACGTCTCTATCTTGTGACTTACTGGCAGTGCCAGTTGGAGTAGGTGGGAAGGGAGTGGAGCATGAATTCTGTAGAAAGACTCTTTGTACTGAGAGGGTCACACATCCTCTGTTTGGGGCATTCGCTGTCGGAGAGATTAATGTGTGTGGGAACACACAAATACACGCAAGCAAATAGCATCGCTTACTGAAAATGACGATAGGAAGACATAATATAAAGAATGACCAATGACCATGGGGTTCCTGTGATATCACGTTTCGGGGGCGAGCAAAGTAGCCCTCGAAAATAATCACTTATAGAGTAATCACACACCTTTTTGTCATACTCACTGAAGTTATTTAATCCGAGTTAGTTAATAGCAGCATGGGGGCATATTTCTTTAACAACAAACGTAGGGTGACATCTCACAGCTGGATTTTAACTCCCTAGAATCCTGCTTCCTAAAAGAACTGGTAAAACAACAAATACAAACCTGATCGAACTCTGATTTAGTTCACAATTTAATGTGAGAAACTTTAATGTGAGAAAATTATACATAACATATCGTAATGGAACATTTCCCTCACTACAATTACTGTATGATTTCATACCATATATGATAACTTGATGAGCCATCACATTTGTGATGAAGCAAAAGGGACCACATAAGAATTGTGAGTGGGTTTTCATTATCGTTTAGCCCTTTGATATCGTGCGGTCATAATAAAAGAAAGTCCATCTTCTTTGCTCTCTGTCTTCTAACATAATACGGATTAGCTTGATCCCTGTATGTGCCTGTATGGATGAATATGTATAGTATTTTATATAACTTAATCTGCCAAGCCAAAAGACAGTGGGTGGGCGTCAGAGGAGAGATACGGCATCCTGTACAGACACTCATTTCCTTTCAGGCTCAGCCCTCCACAGTGAGGTTACACTCAGGAAGACCAGTCAGCCAACACAATACCCTCTTCTGACATGCTAACACGTATCTGCGCTTTGACACAGTTGCCTGGATTGAAATGTGTTTAAATGCTTATCAAAATGGCTGTGAATTGAGATATAGGTTGAGTTGAGTTAAGCTAACCTGTCTGATAGATAGACTAGCACAATGTCTTGGGTGAAGAGGTTTTTCAGCTCAGGCGTCAGGTTTTGAGCTGATGTAATGCAGGTTGGGCGATACTTGGATTTGGGGGACGGGTACTTTCATGTTAAGTACGTTTATAATGTTACATTTAATCAGCCACCTGACTTACCAACAGTGAAATGAAGGAAAAAAATGGCTGGAGAAAAACATGCACATGTGGCATTCAAAAGGCAAACAACGTGCTAATACCTATTCCAAGACGCTACACTCAAAGGCGGTGCGAATGGGCTTGTATAGCCTCTTGGCTGCATCACAACGAATTCCTAATCTCTCTCTGTGACTTGTGTTGGTGTGCTGCATGTCTTTGGAGTCTTGACACGATGAATTGTACAAATTGGGAAAACTGCACACACTTTTGGTCAGCCTCTACAGCCTCAAAGGCCTTCATTATGTTGCTCTCGGTTATATACACAAAAAGTAATGAAAAAGGAAACAAAAGAGAGCTCAAGGGAGATGTTCAAACCCTGCCTACTCTCACACCTTTGCACACTGGCCAGTTGCTGCACCAGTTTTAAAGTGTGGAGGTAAAGGAGGTTTCAGACACTGTCACACAAACAAACGCTTCATTCTCTGTATACTGAGGACTTACATTCTCCCTTGGCAAATAGTGGAGGCAACACTATAGTTACAAGGACTGCAGCACACAAGAGAAACCGGCCATACCAAATTATAGACTAACAAAGGGGGGAAAAAAAATCAAGTACAAGCACAGATCAAGTCATAAATATTTAAAAATCATTTGTCAAGTTAGATTTTCCTCACCGCAGAAATAAATGGTCTCATGAGGCCAAAGGTACAGCATGTTGCATACTAAAACAAATGTTCAACAAAGCTTCAGATATATGCAACTAATTTGCCAGACGCCAGATTCATAGTATATTTTCCACCCTGCCATGCTCCAGAGTTTGAAATCTCAACAGGGCTGATCTCACAAAGAAGCCATTCACAGTGATTCGTGAACACACACACACACGCACACACACGCACACACACGCGCACACACACACGCAGTCTAAACTTTTACCGAACTTGAACTCCCCCAAAACCCTGTGGTGACCGCATAAAAAGTAGTTCTCAGGTTACAAACTCGCCCAAAATAGGCCATAAGTACATAGTACTGCTATCTGGTGACGTAGATTATAGTTTAGAATGGTTACACACACTTGCACGAGCAAAAACACATAGGTTATACACATGGCCTGTAATGAATTCAGTAAAATGCTTCAAGGAAAGACGAGAACATTGTAAAAATAACAACTGAGGAAAATAAAAACATTGAAGTCCACTGCCTGAGCATTTTGTAATAAATCACCAGTGCCACAGTGTTTTAGGCTGACACAGTTTAAAAATCACAACACAGTACGTCTAACTTCTTAAGTAAGGATAGAGGAAAAAGGCAAATATTGTTAGTCACAACAAAAAGCTCTCGTTACACAATATAGATAAACTCAAACCTCCTCACAGCAACTAACATTAAAAAAGCCACTGGGAGTGATAATCGTCATCCAATGATGACTCATAGCTGTATACAATTCCAATATATACACATAAAAAAGGACTCTTTAAACCCCTAATTTTTACATTGAGAATTATCATTATTTCAGGCCAGTACTTCTTAAAATATGGGTGAAGACCTGAAATGAGCCAAAAGCCTGTTTCTAGTGGGCTCCCGCATGAAATAAGTAATAACATGCTTTCACGAGCGAGGGAATAACTTCTGTCCCTTCCTGGAACTGGAAAAAAAAAAAAAAACTTGAAGGGACGTCCTCCAAGAGCAGTAGTTTTCAGAATAGCTAATCTGTGTACAGGAAACAGGCGCTAAGACTTCTGGCGCTATGTGGGCTGAGCAATCAAAACAATCTCTCCATCTTCTGATTGAGGAGAAAGGGACCTGCGCCAGACTCTTCAACACACTATATCAGGCAGAGGGGGGATGAATAGAAGGCTCAGGTCTTTTAATGTATGCCACAAGATGCTCCACATGTCCAACTGCTGTGGTTTGCTGGGGAGGAGGCATCACAGCAAAGGATGCCAACAGACTGAATAAACTCAGAGAGAAGACTGGGTCTGTCACTGGATCCAAGCTGGTCAAACCGGAGGAGGTGGTTGACGACAGAATGCTCGCAAAACTGCTGGCGATCCTGGGCAGCGCCTCCTACCCCCTACACAACATGTTAGCCGAGCTTAAGCGCACCTTTAGCAACAGACTTATTCACCCCCGGTGTGTAATGGAGCGATACAGGAAGTAATTCCTGCCAGGTGCTGTCAGACTCTACTATTCATCTACTTTTGCCAGGCCTGCTAACAGTGAACTGTTCATGGATTAAACTTTAGCTATTGGGCCACCACTATTTATTATTCTAATCACTTCGCTCTTTGCACACTACAATATTGACTCAACATTATTAATCTCAAGCACTCTATCCATCTATCTATCTATCTATCTATCTATCTAGAGAGAGAGGGGGGAGGGAGAGAAGGAACAAGCACAAGGGATGGAGAGAATGATTGGGAATGAGGTGGACTGATAGCAGGAGAGGGGATGACTCATAGAGAGGAAGAAAAGGAAGGAGGCCAAAGGGAGGGAGAGAGAGTAGGAAAGAAGACGGGGACAAAAACAAAGCTGAAACGATTTTCTTCTTCACTGGCTTTTACTTTTCCTCGCTCTTTTTCATCTCCTGTCCTCTTTCCTCTGCCATTCTTTCTTCTCCTCTATCACTGTTTCTCTTATCTACATTTCTTTTTTCCCCCCCTTCATATCCCTCTTGCTTCCATGCTTTTCTCTTCTCCATCTGCGTGTTATGAGTAGCATTTGGGGAGAAAGTACGTGGGATTTTCCCACAGCTCGGCAGGACCAGACCCAACCCCCACCACCCACACACGCTCATTTTCTGTCTTTCCCTCCACTCCCTCTGTCTCATGTCAGAGGGGAGTCTTGAGGAAAACCACCCATATTCCACCACTAAGTATTCTGGATGTTTGCTGGAACTTTATGTTGCTCGTTGTTCCATAGACAACAACTATGAGGTGCTATGGCAACACAACAATTAGAGGAAGGTTACAGGACAAAAATATCTCCTGCCTTTGAATTAAAACACTGTAGCTCGTGTTAAAATTTTAATTAGAGAACTCCTGCTAATTAAATTGTTACGAAAGACCTTCTAGAGGAAGACAAAGCTGTTTTCAAACGGTATGAAAAATTTTGTATGGATTTTGCAGGGTCATAAAACTGACTCAACTCCTGAAGGTCCATGGTGAGGTCTATCTAGCCTTTTTTTGCCCAGTTATTCAGCCCACTTAAGCAGGTCATGGTTCCAGCAGGCTGAGGGCCTGTTTGTGGGATCTCAGCATTAGTTTGTCAGATGTGCCACGTCAGAAATCAGAAGTGTTTTTTGGTCCTTTCAAATGGCCACATTGAGAAGTGGTGGGAAAAGCCAGCCATCATAAGGTGGGTTTCCATCCAAACATCGTGCAAACTTTAAGCAAATTTTGCTGCTATATTGCGAAGAGTAGTTAGACTTGTTTCATCGAGATAAACAGCTGGTGGCCATATTTCTAGAACTGGGTTGAGAGAAATACGCTATACAAAATACAAACACACTAACGCTCAACTAAACGTGTGTTGTTTTGTGTGTGCGTTGACTGTGGCATTGTGTACATGTGCACACATATATGTTGACAGTGTGACCTGTGTCTCTTAGTGCAGCAGGTTTTGTGTGTGCATGTCTCTACCTGTTAGCGCAGGTGCATATGAGCGTGGGGCTTACCTCTGCTGCCTGTGTCTCCTGGTGTAACAATGTCAGCCCTGTCAGGTCTTCCAGGAAAGAGTGGGAAGAATTAAAAACCTTGGACAGGAAGTGGAAACCTTCCCTCTCATAGTGATCCAGGACCTGGACAAAAAAAACAACATGAACAAAGGAGAATTACAGGTGATTTAACAGGAAGTGTAATGTCTATTGCCAGGGTAACAATACATCCAAACATATACACTACAGGCAGTTATACCATGTCTGGTCCATATTGAGATTACTGCTTTACACTTGACATCAATGTGTAAACAACAGCAATAGACCAGCATAACCATCAACTGCAAAACCGACGATTGATTTTGGGTCTTTGTATGTTTTACTAAGGCAGCTACCTATAAATGCAATCCAGTTTTACTCTTAAATGGAGGACGCCTGATATATAAAAATAATTTACAATTTTTCCTTAAGTAACACCAAATTGTAAATGTCATCACCAGAGGTGGCAAGAGAGATGATGTCCTACTTCAAACCCCTTTCAATTTGCTCAGGTGCAAAAGTTGAAATTCAAATTAAAGTTCCCCAACAAAGATGCACCTCTTAAACTTTTACTGAACTTCCAAGTCAAATATTACATCTTGACCAAGACATGTGTCAAAGTGTTTTTCCTCACCAAACACTACAAGCCTGGTGGGAGTCATTTTTTGAATCTGCAGCACAGAAGGGCAACTCTCTCTCAAAAGCAGATAATAATATTTCAACAGGATGAAATAAAAAATGCACCTTTGTCGCTCTAGTCCTCAGGCACAACCCTGCAATACCACAACTATGTTTACTTTGATCTCCTACCAGCACTGACTTCAAATACCCACACCTTCTTCCCAAAACACACAGGCGCACACACACACAAACACACACACACACACACACACACACACACACACACACACACACACACACACACACACACACACACACACACACACACAGATCCTCTGCCCTCTTGACTGCCTTCCTAAGCTTGGCCAAGCCTTTCATGGACGCCCACAGACCCTCCTCTGCAGGTGTAGGGTTACCTCTGCCTCAGACATCAACACACTCTGCGTGCATCACTGCCGGTGCGTGTGTGTTCGCAGACTGACCTGGCGTCTAGTCTTGGAGCCAGACACACCGCACACAATACACACTGACGTGTCCCCTTGTTCATCTTTTCAACCTCTCTTTTCTTTCCTTCCTTCACTTTTATTTCTTTGATTCTCCACTTCCATCTATGGGATCTGTTACATGAGACGCCAACGGCCAAAACCCACTTTGTTGAAATATAGCTGCTCACGGCATGGAAACTTGATAACTGTGATGATCTTGTGATAACGTTAATAAAGTCACTACAAGCAATGCACACAGACACACAGCTAGACACACAGCTACACACACAAAACACACTTACATCATTCACTGATGTCCATTCATTTCTATAGTAGACCATGAAGAAAACTGAAAACAGTTGAGAGAAGATGGGGTTGCGAACTACCACCAATTTAAACCTACATCAAAAAAAAATAAAAAAATAAAAATAAAATAAAAAATTATACACTGTTTTTTTTTTTTTTTTTTGGGGGGGGGGGTTCTGAGTGTAATAGCCTTGTACAGTTGATACTGAATGTTCTTAAAATGGTCAGGAAAGTTTCCATACCAGAGTAGTGAACAATCTAATACATGACTAATTCAGACTGCGCTGTGACATCAGCATCACTGTAGCAAACGCACTGTGGTAAATATACGATAAAGATATAAACCTATGTAGACATACAGAACAAGATTCTGCAGTGTTTAGCGAGCCCTGATGGGTTTCAGTAGTGATCACACACTGTTGACGGAATTATCAACATCTGGATTACATGGTGTGCTCCAAATATGTACATAAACGCACACATATGGGATACACATGCGTACAAATACACTTGTCCTAAAGCTTCCTTCCTCATAAAGCAACATAAATGTCTACCCTCTAGATTTATTTCACAGTGGTGATGTCTCTCTCTCTCTTGTGGATCCTTTCTGTGTGTGGATATTAATTGAAAGTATCACTCACCACAGGCTGTGTTATGTGTGTGCTTTTTTTCCTTTTGTGCATAGCATCCTTAAAACATATCAAACATACTAGGGGTGGTCCCGGTGGCTAAAGGGCTCTTTAACTTCAGCTGTAAACATACAAACATCAGTAACAGATAAAGTGTTACTGGTAGTAGTAGTAAGGATGTAAGACACATCAGGTAATGGTTAACACTGGTGAATGTTATTTGACTGATATACAACTATGAAGGAAATGCTTAAAATGTTCCTAGGTGGTGGTTTTGCAATGAAGTGGCACTTACTTTACACTGAGTACCATGAGAAAAGAGTTCCTGGTGACTCAGTGGCTTTGACTTCCCCTATTAACATGTATGGTCATCACGCCAGGTCAGACGCTTGCCTTGAAAACACACAAACTCCTTACTGACTCATTAAGTAACCATTTCTGAGAAACAGCACACGGCACAGGAGGAAAAGCTCATAAAGTGTGTGTAGTTAACGTGCTGTGGTTGCTCTACACACATACTGTATCTGTCAACAGTATATGTAGAAACAGCTCAGAAAGAGTCTGTTTCTAAAATGTGTGAAAATGATTGCTGGTATTAACGTAAAGGGTATTACTGATAACAATCAAAGTTCAAGCTGTAATGAACGATATAGTGCACAAAATATATTTTCTATAAATCTATTTTCATTATTCAAAGAGCTGTTTAGTCTATAAATCATCAGATAGTATTTCCCACAGCCCAGCATGAACCTCTTTAAACAGCTTGTTTTGTCTGACTAAGAGTCTAAAGCCCAAAGAAATGTAATTAACAATTATATAATATCATATTTGAGAAGCTAAAAGCATTTTTGCTTGATCTTTGACTTTAATCTAGTGTTTAATCTACTTCACTACTTGTCGGTTTTACTGTTGAATGTGAAATACTCCGGTGCAAAGTGTAACACACAAAATATGCAATATTCAGGGTTCTTGGTTTTATCCACCTTATTGCCTTTAATGTAGAAGCTGTTGCTAAGGCTGCTGCTAAGAACTACAGTGATGGTGACCACAAGAAAAGATAATAGAGTATATCTTATTTAAGCTTAATCACTCAACTTAATCTTCTGTCAGTCGATTCATTGACTAACTGATTAATTGTTTCAGCTCTAAAATGAATATTTAATCAAAATTAGAAGGACATTGAATTCATGGTGAGACTGCTAGAACACTCAAAAGCTCACACATAATGTTGAGCCGTGCCTTCAGTGTAATGATACGATCCCCGTAAGTCACATATTACTATAGGTTTCCTTGAAAGGTTTTAAATCTTGTGCACGTCAATCAAAACATCAATGGGATACAATAGGAACTGGATACACAAATGAAACAGAAAATTGCCTACACTCACACATAATTCAAAGGTTTAATAAAACAATTTTGCTAAAAATAGTGGGAGCATATTTGGTAGTGTTAGTACAAGTAGTTGTAGTAAGAGGTGTCTGGCATGGTTTTAGACAAAGCCACGTCAGCTGTGATTTACTCTCTGGCGTGTAGCGTTATTGGCTTGCAGCCCCAGAAAGAGTTAGGAAATACACACACACACACACACCACTTATCCAAATATCCACAGCCACACCACACACACACACACACACACACACACACAGACACACACACACACACACACACACACACACACACACACACACACACACACAGTGAAAAGCCCCAACTCTACAGGAACTGCTCCAGCCCAGACAGGGGCTGAATTGTTTTGTTTCCATAGTGACCTGGCAGCACACAGCTGACTGCAGCAGGAGGACACACAGGCAGACATGCACTCGCTCGCTCGCTCGCACACACACACACACACACACACACACACACACACACACAGACAAAGACAGGCACACACACATTACAGTGAACGGACTGATAGATGGACAGAGGGACACACAAAGGGAGAAGAGAGATGTGGGAGGGAGAACAGGAAGGGAGAGAAGGTAAGAGACAGAGCTGAGATGAGGGAGAAGTGAAATAGGAGAAGGCTGGTAGAAAAGAAAAGAGTGAAAGGCAGATAAGCAAATGCAAAACAGAAAGGGAAAAGATGTGGGGGTGGAACCGAATCGAAACATATTCACCAATTTTACTACATAACCTTTATCCCTGCCTCAGCAAAGGATCGTCTTTCCTAAATCATGTTGTTCATTGTTCCTGACTACACAGGCTTTACCCAATCCCTATCAAACCATACGAGCCCTCTGTGCAGACCGAATAATCTCATCAGTCACACGGGCGGAAACATGACACCTTAAGATGGGGTGGAACTTCATCCTTTTTTATTTTTTCAGAAGCAGCGTAGGTGGAGAAAAGTTTAAACTTTTAGAGTACAAGCTAGCCAGCTCCCTCCCCCCTCTGCCTCTTGGTTTCTCGCTCTGTCTTCACATGAAAGTGATAGATCTGGGGCTTTATGACCTCTTTATAGACACAAAGACTGCATTGAGATCAGGGGAGAAAGAGAGAGAGTGAACCAGCCCTCCACTCATCACAACACCCTTTCTTCAGCCCTGCACTTCCACTCTTTATTTCTTCCCCCCACCCCTCTGCCTTTTCTCCCTTTTTGTTGCTTTCTCCCTCTCTAAGTTGAGGTTTTGTCTCCCTCCCCCCTGGTCTTACACTAATGTACATCAGCCAATCACATTGGTGGATGCTGCTAACCGCAGGGCCACCTGGGCCACTGATTGGCCATTTGGCTGTGGACATCAATGATAATGCGGTAAAAAGATGCAAAGGCAATTTCTCCCACCCCACTTGGCCAATTCAGGATACGTAGACCCTTCAACAACCCATCTCTATACACACGCGGACACACACACACACACACACACACACACACACACACACACACACACACACACACACACACACACACAGCGGTGGGAGCTAATTCCACTCATACGACAGTCGCTGACATCAATGAGCAACTGCTGCCTGATTGTTACCATATGGTTTTACCAGCTTTTCTGTGTGTGTGCGTGCGTGTGCGTGCATGTCTTCAGTATTCCTCAAGGAACAACATTTCAACACAGCTCCACTGACTTAACAATGTGGAAATGGGAGAGATGGGAATCCCCCCCATTTCTGCTAAAGCTGCAATTTGTATTTCAAAACATTGTTGTTACATAGTAACAGAATCAAATCCTGATAAGTAAATCAGAACCTGTCCGTCTGCATCTATGTTTCAATCTTTACCTTGAAAACACTGTCTTGTCACTATAATGGATTGGAATAGACATAGTTTGAATGATCCAGTTACTTACAATGGGTGAGCAGGCAGTGCATTTGTCAAAGGCCAGGCTGGCAGGCAGGACATTGTCGAACCTCGACAGAAAGCCTCGGATCTGTGGAGAAGTCAGCAAATCACAAACTTAGCTGACATGAAACAGAGGAGCAGGACACACTCTTGTCACATTCATATTATTTAAAAACACTGCACATTTAAATTATTGGAAGGCAAAAAAAGTCTAACCAGAGACACCAGCTGATGAAAACAAATAAGGAGAAAAATAAGCAGGTTTTTGTGTGTTAAACAGACAGATAATCTCTAATTTGTGAGAGACAGAGTATTTTTGATACCTTTATTTCTCGTAACCAGTAAGTAGAGCAATAAGCATTAAATCTGGCATTTTAAAAGTAGGAGGCAGTTTGACTTTCTGTGTTCAAAATTAAGCTGAGAGCGCCCTCTGGTGCCACAGAGGTTAAAACCTTTTTTTGTAAAACGTTTTCAGCACGTCTCTCACTGCTGAAAGCCTTCACTCCTATTTATGGCTACAGTTACTGTGGCTAATTAACCTTCGTTACTGACGAAAGAGAGCTTTCCACACATACGCACGCACACACCAACAACTCTTTAGCAACACGTGTTGAAACACCAGTCATCACTAGTATACCCCCCCCCCTCTTTTACCCACATCCTCCTGTTTTTTAATAAAAGCTTCACCCATTATATTTTCTGGTGACGCACATAGACCAGAAGATGCTATGACTTCCTGACTATGATTATCTGGTGGTGAAAATGACAAATACATGGAACATTTGTGACCAATTACCATACAATGCACAGCAAGTGAACAGGGATGGAAATTGAAAGCTCTCGGGCCTTGCTGGGATTTCTGGGTGCAAACATGACATTTCTTTTCACCCCATTTTCAATTATTCGTCACGGGGCCAAAGTTGCACGAGCCCAGGCTGTGTGGTAACCACAGGCTGCTGGGTTAAGATGTACATCTTGAACTGCGTGACTGGTAAGCAATTAGAACGGTAAAGTGCTTCATTTCGCACACCATTTCAATTTTTTACAACTGCACAACAGCCACAGGGTCGTTTTTTCATTTCTTTCTTCTTGTCCTTTACATCTTCACATCAGTGTGCTGATCATTTCAATTAAAATCAAAAGAGAGGCATAAAAAGGGAACGGAAGGATTGAAAGATTAATTGCAGTAAGAGGCAGTACAGATATAACATGAACGTGTGAGGAGAACTGCCACAGCAAACATGTCCAGTGAATAAATTAACAAATGAAGGGGTGAGTCAATGAGTGAGTCAGGCCGGTGGGTGAGCATGGGCAAGTGAGATGGACTTGAATGGACTAGTAGCCGTACATAAAACTGCACAGCCTTTATAGAGAGCATATATTTAGTACAGGAGTCCAGGTGTATGTGTGTAACATTTCCAGCTGGTGTGCTTTCTGCTGCTCACTGTAATTATTCACACAGCCATGGGCATAGTTCTCATTTTACATTGTAGGACATGGAAATAGAGGACAGTTGTTCAGACACTGCTTTATGGAGTTCTGATTTAAACTGCTACCTCTGTTCACAAACTGATTTATAGCACTGGATTAAACACCAGTTACTTTCACTGTAAAATGTATTATCTTAGCATCTGACAATGACCATTTATAATTTTGAAAGAAGTGATATGTGCCTTTCTTGGCAGCACCTGGAGGTTGCTCTTCATACATCTTCACAATTAATCTATAATTTTGATTTTCCAATATTGTTATTTAGCTAATTTGGTTGAATCTATACACATGTAATCTGTTGCATGTCTGGTGGATCCCTTGTCAAGCACAGCATTTCCCTGGACCGTAGAGATTGTAGAGAGATTTCAGTGACAAAGGCTGAAATCTCTCTCAAGGCTACACAACAAAATTTCAGGGCCAATATACATATATAATATTTACAGTTCAATCAATCACAAATAAATAAAATATGATATAGTTTATATAAATCACCACAAGTTGTCACTGTGGCACCACAGAAAACACAGCCTGCAGCTTCAAACTAGTCAGCTGGGTGTGTTACCAGTCAATTGATGATGAAAAAGGCATTCCAGCCATATATATATATATATGTATATATATATATATATA